CCATCATCCTTCCCCCTTCTTCCCAGAGCTGAATACAGGGTTAATAAAAACTAAAAACCCTTATGATAGCTGTAGAAATACACTGTGAAATAGTTATCCAGTTTTTAAAAAAAGGGCTTCCAGAAAGATAGAAGCATGGAATTGCCTCCCAAGATATTTGTAGGTACACAGTTGCTCAGTTTGAATCCAATTTACTTGCCATTTGTGAATTTTATGTTGTTGCACAAAACTTTAGTTTTCTGACAATTTATTGATAAACTTTTATTTTGTACCGAATAGAGCTAGTGTTATTTTTTACTGCTTTCTGCAAAATACATATAATAACTACCCTGTCTGCATACAATAATGCAGTCTCAGTCTCTTCTTTGGTATTAGTTCAAAAGTTGACTTTTGATGACAAAAATTTCAAAGATCCAGAGGGTACAGAATATTTTTCTGCTAAATGATCTAATGCTGATTGTTCGCCTCTAAACTCAGCTATCCTTCAGGAATGATATTTTCATTTTGTACCCAATATGCTAATTTTAGATACAAAATTCATTCATATTGGCATTGTATTAATTATTGCACTTTAACAAACTCTACTGAACATCTCATTAAATTCTGCATATTTTTGCACTTACACTTGAAGGTTTTTTAATCCATGCATACGTTAATGAATGTGTAGGAAAGAATATTATTCTGATAATAGGATTGCCCCGATAACAGGGTAATTGTAACTAAGCTACAATTTCCAGTATTTTTATAGAATTTGGTGAATAGTGAGAGTTTGTCACTATTTGAGGAACATTTGAAAGATCAGAGGTTCCCTATTCTTGCATAAGGCAGTCATGGAGAATATTATTAAGGTATTTAAGAGTTCAGTATAGATATTGGGGAAACAGTTATTTTTCAACACATTTGAATTTTTTTCTAACCTTCCTCCAAATATTATGAAATACTGCCCAATATTTCCAATTTAAGTTGCAGAATAGTTAATATATGAAATTAATTTTCCAAGGCGCCTGAAGGCAGGACAAGAAACAACGGGTGGAAACTAATCAAGGAGAGAAGCAACCTAGAACTAAGGAGAAACTTCCTGACAGTTAGAACAATTAACCACTGGAACAACCTGCCTCCAGAATTGGTGAATGCTCCAACCCTGGAAATTTTTAAGAAGAGACTGGACAGCCATTTGTCCAAAATGGTATAGGGTTTCCTGCCTGAGCAGGAGGTTGGACTAGATGACCTCCAAGGTCCCTTCCAACTTTACTATTATTATTATTGTTGTTGTTTTATGATTGAAAATAGTCACACCTTCTGTTTTCAGAAGTCCATGAAACAGGTTTTTTGAAAAGGATCAGAAACAGTAGTAGAAATTGGTGCTAAATATAATATTTCAGTTTCAGAAAATGATGCTGATTTCATTTCACTAAACGTTCCGAGTGAACCGCCTGTTTTCTCCTTTTTCATCCCCCCCCCCCGAAAAACAGTACTTTCTATATAATAGTCCTTCATTGTTTCCTCCAAATTTCAGATAATTTTTGAGGAGTGCTTTTTCCCCCCTTGTTGTTTTCCATTTCTGGAAACTTGACATTTTTATCTTGCAGAAGGATTTGGGATTGCAAAAAAAATCTGAAATAAAAGCGGGGGGGGGGGGGAGGAGAGGAATTGAATCTAGAAATGAAATCCAAAAATAATCTCAAATATTTGTTAGCTACACAGTCACTCTAAAGAAAGCAATGAATAGGATGAAAAAATGCATGTTTTGACATCTGATGTAATATACTTTTTATGCCTTTGCAAATGAATGGTGTGTCTTTATATTTAACATGAATTAATTTTGTTAGGAAAACTTACCTGATTAAAAGAGAATTTGGCTGTTATTCAATTACAGGGAAATAATGCCGCCTTGTGGATGCTGTGTGTGATTCAACTTTTTCTAAGTACTGTACTGTAACATTTCCTAGTATTTTATTTATTTATTATTTATTTATTAAATTTTAAAGGACAGGTAGTCCTAGACTTACAACAGTTCATTTAGTGACTGTTCAAAGTTACAACGGGACTGAAAAAAGTGATTTATGACCACTTTTCACTGTTGCAGGACCCACATGGTCATGTGATCAAAATTCAGACACTTGGCAACTGACTCATTTATGATAATTGTAATGTCTCAGAGACATGAGATCACCTTTTGCAAACTTCTGACAAGCAAAATCAATGGGGAAGTCAGACTCACTTAACAATTGTCTTACTAATTTAACAATGCAGTGATTCACTTTAGAACTGTGGTGAGAAAGCTCGTAAATTGGGGCAATTTCACTGAACAACTGTCTCACTTAGCAACAGAAATTTTGGGCTCAATTATGGTCGTAAGTCCAGGATTACCTGTAATGCTAGATTATGAATATCAATATTCCTACAATCTTTTGTTCTAGTAGGCCTTTGGGAAATGGGGAATTGTGTCTATTGCAATTTCTGTTATACGCTGATGTATGGAAATGCCATCAGTTCTGCTTTAAACATCAGAAATTGCCAGTAAAAATTTAAAATTGCTGGCTTAACATCTTGTTTAATACACCTCTGCCTCCAGTGAAGTTTCTTATCAGATTTCTCTGGAAATAGTTTCTGTATTACCTTCTGTGAATGAACATGAGTGAGTTTGAGAAGGGCCTGTCAATCCAGGAATAGATGCAATTAGCAAACAAGGTGAATTGGTGCAAATATCCTCTTGGCTACAGCTGCCATTTGCTCTTCAATTAGGAGTTGGGTGTCCAAAAGACCTCCAAATTGCACACAATTTTTGTCCGGACAAATGCCAGCCTATCTAGAATTACGGTAAATTTGGACTATCCTCAGCAATTTGTGTGCCCATAATCTTGCTAGAGTTCGCCCTAGCAAATTTGTTTCTAAATGACTCCAAGTGCTAAAATAGAACTTTGACAGCACCAATTGGTTGACCTGGATGTTATCTGCCTCTGTGTCATCAAATTACTTTGTCCAGTGGTTTCATGCGAATGTTAAATATTATAGAAGCAGCAAGGGCATCAACTCTGAATAACTAACTACATTTCAGAAGATTTTGAAGCTTCATCATTATTGCCATTGTTTCTGTGTTGCTTTGATGAAACAAATTTAGATAGCTTACAAATATAATAAGAAATTGTACTATGCATGTATCATTAAAAATAATAATTACAATTATGATAACATGGAACGGTGCTAACATACAGTATTTCCTAGGGTAAATGAATCTTCCAATAGAAGAAGATATCTGTAACTCAGGGTTGAATTTTGGAGTCCTTGGTGTTTTCTGAGCTTGGTTGTTTGCTTATAGATGTTTCACACTACACAAGTAGTAGTAGTATCATCAATGTAAGTGAGTGTGGGATCTCCTGCTGGTTTATTTGCAGTAGCAAATTTAGTAGGGGTGTATTTTCCTCCTTGGTGGTTTCTTAGCATGGTTAGGGTTTTTAGGATATTACGGTATTTGCATTCTACCTGGAGTCAATAGATCTGCACATTATCATATGTAGTAGAATATTATATCAAATCTTTATTTTTATTTTATTACAAACTAAATTTGTTACCTTCATAACTACAATTCACACTAAATCTAATCACTGGTTGGATTGGACTGAATCATGGCTGCTTAGCATATCACTAATGAACATCTTTCGCATATATATGCACATCCCTTTTGAAAAACTTTGTGAGTAAATTCCAGTTATTTATCATACCAAGATGAGTGTGATTAATGACACTCCTCAATAAGATTTGGTTTTAATATATAAACCACTGTCAGGAATATTCTACAGTATTTAATGAACATTTTTATTTTAAAAATGTGCATGTTTGTTTAATAAAGTCTTCTTGAGCTTGACTTCACAGGCATCTCCATGTTATTTTCCTGGCTACTGTGTGAAAAATAGTTCACCTCTCTAGTCTTCTGGGGCATTTTCCTCTCTTCCCCTTAACAAAGTATTTTGATTAATATTGAAACGTTTTTAGCCTTGGAGCTGGATATATTCTGTTTGATCTATATTCTGTTCATTGTATTTCATGGGGAAACTATTTTGGTCAGTGTTGTGGGCTCTAAAAAGATCTTTCAAACAGCAGCCCTGCTCCCGTAGAACAAAATGACTGGCGTGTATGCATAATGGTAGTAGTTGTTGCTATTAATAGATTACTAGAGAATATACCTTTTAGACCAGTGGTTCTCAACCTTTTTAATGCCGCGACCCCCAACTGGTCGTAAGTTGAGGACTACTCAACCGGTCGTAAGTCGAGGACTATTCAACTGGTGCAGCACCGTTTGCAGACTGGGACTTTTGGCGGGCTCAGCAGGGCAGAGACAGCCTGGACAATTCCTATTGGCTTTTGAAAGCCAATAGAATTAGACTCTATTCAAGAGAGTCTATTCTATTGGCTTTCAAAAGCCAATAGAATAAAAGGGAGTAGCACAGCTAAGGTAAAGGGGGAAAAAATGGCGGACTGCGTTGTTTGGCGACCCCGTGAAATGGTTGTTCAACCCCAAATGGGGTCCCGACCCACAGGTTGAGAACCACTGTTTTAGACTATATAGCTGAGACAATGAAGAATTTGACAAGGTCTACAAATTTATTATTGCCTATACTTCTCAGCTCAACAGTCTACTTTATCAGATGAATATCTGTTGGCATTAAATTGTTCTAACAGAATTAGGAAGAAGGAAGATTATTTATTTTCATAGGATGGAAAACCTTCCCCTAGTGACATGTCTTCAAGAGTGTTGAATAACAACTGCCATTTCTGCCAGAGAACAAAATAAAGATTGAAGAAAAAAAATGTCTTAATGCTATTTAATTTATCGAACAAGTTGGAAATATTGAATTAACAGCATAATTTTTTTAATCCTCAATTCCCTTTAAGGCAAGAAATTTTAAAGTGGAATGGATGGGGATACAATGACTCAAAATTCATTTTCAATAAGAAGGGTCAAGGAGAATTCACCGGAAAAAGGTAACGGCTATAGAGACAGTAAGGTATATAATTTCTTTTCTTTTTGGAAAGATGACTACTGTTGACTGAAGTTATGACATATTGTAAGAAATGAGTGCTAATATTGAAAGCCAAGAAATATCACATTATTATGCATCCATGTTGTATTCTCTGTGACACAAACAACTCTCCTCTTTTCCAGTGTGAATGAGCAATAGCAATTCTGTCATATTCTGTTTTTATCAAACATTTCAGCTGCAAGCTGCCATATACACAATCACAGACAAATATGGTTGATTTGCTGAAGCATATAGGTAATTAACTTTGGAGTAGCCTTTCTTTGTTAGGAAGTAATTACTTTTAGAGTTTATTTACTATTGGACTTGTTTGGGCATATGCTGTTTACCTTACACACATTAATCTAAATGCGTCTTAAAGTTGTCAGTTGAGTCCTTGGTGCTCTTTGAGCTTAGTTGTTTGTTTGCAAATATTTCATTATCCAATTATGTAACATCAGTGTAGATGAAGGTGGGTTTTGCTCCTGTTTATATTTCTATGGTTGAAATCTGAGTTCACAATTCAACACTGAGCTACGTATATTTGCTATTAAATTCATCTAAACCATCTTTATCAAATTCTGCAGTAATAAATTATCTAAAAGTACTAACACAATTATGCATTCTACAAAGAAATACTTTTTATTTATATCTCCTGAATTTTCTAGCTATTGTTGTCATTGAGTGAACCAGAATATCTTGATTATATTGTTTCTGAATTAAGATTTTAACCCTTATCCATTTGTTAACTTTGTCATTTCCTTTTAGAAAATAGATAACAAAAATAATTTATAACTTTGGCTGTTCTAAAGACATAAATAATTTTTGAAAAGATTCAAATGTTCATGTTTTCAGGAAATAAAGGTGCCCTTTCTTGTGAACTTGTAACCAGTTCTTTTAATCTGTAGTTTTCTAAAGGAATAAGGTAGTAGATAAATTTGTAACCCTGAACAATGCTTCCAGAAAGCATGTATTCTTGATTTTTTTTGCAGTATTTTAAATGTATTTTAATTTGGAAATATTTTATTTCAGTCCGATTCCTAAGATTACCTCTTGTCAGTTATAACAAGCAAGTATGTGGAAGCCCAAGGACCTTTTCTACATATAAAAGTAGACCTCATTTAGTAACTGCCTTGTTTAGCAACTATTCACAGTTATGACGTTGATGAAAAGGTAACTGCGACTTATCATTGCATTATGACTTCTGTAAAGCAAAGAAAAGCTGAAGAAATATCATAAGCACAGTTGCGGTTTCACTTCACATCCATTTTGCTTAATGACTGAATTGCCATCCCAACTGTGGCCACTAAATGAGGACTATCTGTAACTGGTTTTGTCCCTGTATGCATCACTTTGCATATTTGGACAATGGCACAAGATACATTAGGCAGCAACATTAATTTTGTTTGCAAACTCAGTGCAAAAATCTCATATTTTGCATTCTTGACTACAGTCTTCAATTTCTTGAATAATTTGTCAATGGGAAACAAGTGACTACATGAAACAATACTTACGCCAATACTAAATTCCACTACTGTTCCCCTCCATTGCAAAAGCTATTCATAATCTGCTTCTAGGTTTGATTTGCTGTAATCAGCATAGGGATTTGTCCTATAGCTTGCTTAACATGCAGTGGAATACCGTACTTTATCTGAACTTAAAAATTATGTGACTGTTATTTCTATATTTGACCATGACAGAATTCTAAAAAGTTTTTGAGTTGACGTTTTTGTTACAAAAATCTGAGTAATATTTTTTTGCAAGGTTACTTCATGCTTAAAGTTTCAGATCTTAAATTTCTACTTAGTTTGTTATGACTGATATTTTAAGATCCCCATCTTACCAGATACTTGGACTTTTATTTCTAGAAATTATATGTCCACTGCTTGTATATATCTGAATAAAGAAAATAACACCAGGTTTTTACTAGTTTTAACTCTGGAAGAACTGATGAAAATTCTTTTGGATTCAGGTATCAAATAGGCGGAGTGATATTCCCATTTTTGAAAGATTGGTTAGAGAAAAATCTTGGTGGAAATATGGAACATAAAACCACCCCTAAAGTAAGTGAATACATGGGCCGTGTGTGTTTTTTAATCATTAACCTGTAGTAAATTCTTTATATATCATTCAGTTAAAACATAAAACTGCTTATTTTGTCCATTGTCCTTCTGCAACTCTGACATAAAGATTTTTCCCAGCCTTATTGCCGGATGCTAGCTTGTCAGTGAGGATCTGTAGTTGAAAATATAATCTGTTAATTCAAAACTTTTTAAGCACAGATTGCTTGCTTTAAAACTTATACTTTTGTACATTGATAGATTGTTGATTTTAATTTGTTGCAGTATTTCAAGAAGTCTATCTTAGAAAAACGTTCATTCTTCTGTCTCTGGAGAAAGAAGTGTGGTATAAAAAGTATTAAGAACTGTATCACACATACATTTCTGTTTGTTTAGCAATACACTTCAGTTATTCCTTATTTCTGTGCATCCACCTAAGATCTCCTCCAGAGACTCCTCCAAAGGATTTTTGTGTGAGTGTGATGAGTTGGTAAAATGGGGGGAAAGGTAACTGGTTTGCTAAAAGAGAGATTGCTGGCAAGATGGTAGGTGTAGAGATGAGAGACAGGCGAAAGTTGTGTGTGGAAAACTGCGCCCCCCAACGCTTGTGTCTTTGTTCTGCATCTATCTTCTCTCCCCCCCTCACATCACCATGGTGACGTGACAGTATGCAGGTCTGTGTGACCTTGCCAGTTTGATAAGGCTGGCTGGGTGAACAATAAGTTTCCCTGTTTATGGCCTCTAGCTTTTTACTCTTGAGGATTGGAAAAGGATTTTAGCCAATGAAATGCTGTTGCCATGCTGTATCTTTTGTTATTTGTAAACCTCTATTTAAACAATAAAGGCTGCGTAGTAAGTGGCCATTTCTTTGCACCCTTCAATGACTAAGGAGTGATTACTACAGGTAGGAATTGTTTTTCCTGCAGCATATTTGAAAATGATGCTCTTCTGAGGTGATTTCTTTTTTTCTGAATAAATACACTGGAAATTATCTTTTTTTTTTTGTTTTAACTTTGAAGACATCCATAAATATCAGTGATGTACCTCCCTCCGTCGCAAGTGAGGAATTTCTTCAAGACCTCCAAAATGCTAAAATTTCATATACACAGGAAGCAGAATCTAGACTTTTTAGAGCCCATGGTAAGCAAAATCAGCATGCACAAAGTAATTTCTTAATTGCTTGCTTTCAACATTTGATGTCTTTGTGAGACTTATTTTTACCTTGTATTTCAGGTCATTGCTTATATGAAATTTTTTTGCTCAGGGAAGGAATGTTTAAGCGGGTTCCTGATGTAGTGGTATGGCCAGGTAAGCTATTCAGAATATTTTGCTCATTCTTGCACTTCCCTGTTGTACTTATTACTGAACTTACGTAACAGTATTTTCAATTTTGAAAAAAAAAATGGAATTGAGAAACAATTTATAGAATCTCAGAATACGAAGTATGTATTAGAGAAGTAGTCCAGAAATGCAGCCTGGAAATCTGCCAATAATGTTTATGTTGCATGTTGGTTAAACTGTTATAAAAATACAGTCTCTATTTGCAGTTGACACTTGCTTTGTATTTTTTTCAAAGTAAAGGGAATAGGCGAAATTTAAAACACACAGAGTGCCAAACAGTAAAAATATATAAAATAATAAAATGTTATTTCAACATATAGAAAGCTCCATTTTTTCTGAAAGTCAAATGTAAGTCTTAAAATTACTTGCTTTTGAACATTATTTTTAGACAATTCCTATTAAACAAATGAGTTATAATATTTTCTCTAATGTATGAACATACCTTAATGAAGATTACATTAATTCAAGATGAGCTACTTGGCATTTTCAGTTGTTGCACAAAGGTGTTCAGATGCAAAGTTGAGCAAATTCCATGTGATCATGAGAAGAGTGGCATGTGTTATGTCTTTCCTTCAAGAAGCATGTCATTTTATGATTATCTTGGTTATTGATCCTGCATTACCAAAAATAACGAGCAAAATTTGTAGTAACCTATTTTCAAGATTTGTGATTGTTTATTAACACTGTATGAGAATAGATAATCGCCTTATCTAAGTACCATGATTATAAAATTAGTTCAATTAAGAATTGCTAGCTCTTAATATAATAGACTATTTTATTATATTATTTTATTTGTAAAATTTATTGGATGCCCATCTTACCACAGGGTAACTCTGGGAGGCTTACAATATTACAAGGAAATCACAAGAAAGTTAGTTTTTCTTAGCATTTTATGTAGAATTTAATTTGCATAATTAAATGAATATTATTCCTGGCATAACTAAAATAACTAAATCCCATTGAAGCTAATGAAATACTCTAATTTTAAAACAGAGGTTGTATCTGTGAAATCCATCAGGGGTTTTCAGTGCCTGAAAATTTTGTTGACCATTGGACAGCATAATACAACTCTGCCATTCAACACATTTGATAATGTGCAAATTGCTAGTATGGGAATTATTAGTGAGCATAGTCAATTGGAATATAATAATCAGAAATATACTAATTGCCTTAAAATAGAAGGATTCTGTGGAGGCCAAGTAACTCAGAACACCTCTTCAGCCTCAGGGGTGCTGTGCATTTCCTCCCTGAAACTTGGTCTGGGTCCTAAGAGCGTGGGCTTTGCAGTTCAAACTTCATGGGAAGCCTTTCCTAGAAGACTTATTAAACTATTAATTTAGATATTAAGAATCAAGCTTCTTTCAAGACTCTTGGACTAGACTGCTTTTTATTTATTTGAGCTTTTTTGGGGGGGAAATTCTGTTGAATCTACAACTCGATATTTGAACTGTAACAATCAGTTCTGTATTGTGATTGGTTAATCCAAGCTACTTTGATGTCATGAATTTTTTAAACAACATGTACATTTTAAAATGTTTATAGTTTGGGCTCAAAGCTGTTTTTTAAAAGGAGGCTAACATCTTATTTTCTCCCATAGTTAATGCTTATTTTGCATTGATGATTCTTTTCAGTCTAAAAGCTGTCAGAAATATTAGTGACTTTATACTTTTAATACAATTAAGTATTTTAATAAATAGAAAACTCACTTCTAAATGTTTTGGGATTAGCTGCGTTATTCAGTAATTTATGTTAAAATATAATATTTTAAACTCTTAATATTTTGTTCATTTTTATAGAATGCCATGATGATGTAGTTAAAATTGTGGAAATAGCCTGCAAGCATAATATTTGTATTATACCTTATGGTGGTAAGTAATAAAGCTATTAACATTTTAAAAAATAATTGTTTTTTAAGCCAGGTTCTAGTCTAAAGCATTATTGGGGCATAGTATCTTAAGCTATGTCAAATAGAATTTTTTTAGTTTTAATAGTAAATACCTTTTGCCATATGCTATTTTGTTTATGGAAATCCTTATATGTATCTTTTATCTAAATCCCATAAATATTTGGGATTGGGGATTGTTCTCCTTGGTCTCATCCCCACTTTATCCTTTGCTCACATCGAAATTTCATTCATTCATGTCAGTGGATGTCATAAAATATAATCTAAGGAAATAATACTGAGGTAACAAATGAAATATAAATTGATCTGTTTCTCATATCTGTAGGAGGCACAAGCGTTAGCAGTGGACTTCAGTGTCCTCCTGATGAAAAAAGAACTATTGTTTCACTAGACACTTCACAAATGGTATGTGTACAAAACAGTTTCAAGTGAACTTCACAGAATGTCAGATCATCATCACTCTGGGATCTTTATGCTGAGTAGCTATGTAAATATTTTAATCTGTTTTTTTCATGTTTCAAGCCCATTCGTTCTCACAAGTTATTTGATAAGAATTCTTTAAATTGCATCTCCTGCACCATTAACATTATGAGTTTGTAAAATATTTTCAGTAAGTGATCAGCAGTTTTCCAGCAGGAGCATTCACAATATTGGTCTTGAGAATCAGGATAACTTAAACAATGAGTATTAATCTTGCTAATTGCATTTCATCAATTTAACCTAAAACTTAAAATTTAATGTTGATGTTGTATATATTGATATACATGTGATGAGAGAAAGTTCCCTCTGGAACCTCCTTTAGGTTTTTAATAACATCTTCATCAGTTAATTTCAGTAGATTCTGAAATAGCAAAAAGTCTTTATTTAATATATGTGAAGAAGCTGTTAAGCACTCTGCTTACAAGGATCACACAAGGGAACCAATTGATTGGATGTTAGGAAAAATGTAATTAAAATATCACTTTAAAATATGGCTGTACATTTTTTGTGAGATCAGATCTATAAGTTGAAACATCATTGCTAGTTGATAGCAGTATGAAATAGGGAATTAGGAGACAGCTTTATCATCTTATTTTACATACCATCAAATACACTGGATTTTGTAGCGCTTGTGATTTGAAAAAGTAGGATCCAGATTGTGGTAAACCAGCTGAATCTGATTCATAACCCTGACCATCCAGATTCTTTAATAGTAATCAATGAAAATAAGGCTACAATTTAGATTTGAACTTTGTCAGTGGCAATAAATATTAAGAGTAAGCAATTAAATATTTTTAGACCCAGTTTTATATTCCCAGGCTCACATTGTTGCTGTTTACTGCATAATACCATTTCAGCTTTAGTTCACTTAAAAAAAAAAACTTTAGGGTTCAAAACCGATGCAGTAATTAAAAACATAAAATTCAATCAAAAAATTGTGAATGTTTTGTCAGAACGAAATGCTGCCAAGACTGGTTTTTTTAGACTGAGATGTGATTTCATGCATTACTGAAATATTAGTTTATCACATTTCTTTGGATGAAACCCAACATCCTGGTAGTGGATTTACATTGACAAGCAGGATTTTCTCATTCCTCCTGACGCTACAAATACATTCAGATGCAGTCTAGACAGATTAGGAGAAGGAGAAGAAAACTGATTTTACCAATTCCATTCTTCTTTGTAAAATCTACTGGTAGGATTGTTCTCTTTCCCCACACATCCTTGAATTGGTAGAAAACAATATTAGCATGAAATGTGCAGTCCATATCCCTTATGCCTCTTCTTCACCATTGCCTCGGTTTGAAGTAATTGCTAGCTGTCTGGTTTGCTTCCCAGGTTATGAATGACAAAGCCTAAATGATTTTGCATACCTTGAAGCTGTTTTGGGATAGTTGTATGAATAAATGGAAAGACATAACTTTAAGGCTGATCCCCCTAAATACTTAAGGCTTTTTCACAAAGAGAGACGGTGGATAAGATGAAGATCATGTTGTAAGAGCATGGTAAAAATTCTTTTATCAAGGAATTATTGTGCAGGGATTAAATTCTAGTGGAGGAACAGTTTTAGAAACCTACATTCTAGAAAAGTAGGTTAGGTCTGGCCCCAGTTCAAAGTTTAGTATTCTTAATATTACTTTCATAGATGGATATCAGAGTATAAAATAAGGGAGAAACTTACACAAAAGAGTTTAAAATTGGTCTGAGTCTACCACTTCTTGAAAATCATATCTTGAACAAGACTGAATATAAGAAATAAAATAATTTCTGCTACTGTAACTTTTTCACTATTCTGAAGGCCTTGTCTTTGGTATATTGTCACTTTAGAATTATTTTGACATCTGTGGTTAATTGAAATAAGATGAAATTTGATTTCAACCTCATTAATTCCTTAATTCTTAAAAGAATCTATGGATTCTAATTTCTGACTGATGTTTTTCTCCTCATATGTGCAATTTCAGCAATGCAAATAGACAGGATGCATTCATCTTCTTGTCTCTGTTGATTTATTGTCTTTATAGCTATGCAAAACTCTGCCTTTAGAAATAGAACATTCCATTCCTGGAATGGTGGGGTTTTCACATAATTAATGCCTACTGTTGTACTAATCACTGATTTTAACTATGTTTTGTTAAATAATTAAATGTAAGTATTTTTCACAAGTCACAAGTATTTTTTTTTTTTTTTTGTAATAGAACAGGATTCACTGGATAGATGAGAAAAATTTAACTGCTCACATTGATGCTGGCATTGTTGGCCAAGACTTGGAAAGACAGGTATCATCAACCGATCCCTTTGAGAATGCTGGTATTTTTATAGCTCCAAATATACTGCCATATATTGGCTCATAAAGTAAATATATTTGAACAGTTACGCCTATTATATTCAGGCTAATGGCAGTTGCTATGTTATTAATTTTTCTGTTTATTTTAATATTAGCAGATATAACATGAATGTTAAAAATTGGCTTTTTCTGTCACTGACCAGAAACAATATTGTCGCTATCTTTGGGGACGTTTCTATCATCTTCCATTTAGCTCCAGAATAAGCTATCATCTTGAAGAAAGTTATGCAGTCACATAATGAAATATGGGTATTAAGTAGAATGGCTTATTAAAAGAACAAAAAGCTCTTATTAAAATAAAATGTTTGACACTTTTGTAGTAGTAATGAATTCTGGTTTAAATAATATGTACTTTGGGAATCTACAATCTAATTGTGAATTCATGGTTCATTTAGTGGTACCTTTGCCCAGACTCTCTTCAAAAGATATTAAATGTTTGAAGTTTCCTTTAAAAAAAATTGGGACGAATTATATAATGGTGGTTATGTGGATCCCCTGATTTAGAATTCTGATACCGTACAGCAGGCCTTTCATACTTGCCAAATAGAGGAAGAAACAGAAAGCTAGGGCAATTTCTTAGATGACATGTCTTGTTGATCTTGATAGGTAGGTATGTTCATATCAAAGTAGACAGTCCCTAGATAATCAGGTCCAAGGACGTTTTGGGCTTTAAAGGTGAACATCAATGCCTTAAATTGTGTCTCTCATCTTTACACAAAAGGTCAAGTATTTCAATATACCTTGTTTAGCAACCACAATTGGTAGTTGTTAAGCAGCATGGTCACTAAGTGAAACCATGACTGTCCTTGTGATCTTACTTCAGTTTTCCTTTGCTTTAGAGACCTGTAAAGATTGTAAGTGCAAGAACTGGTTGCACAGTTATTTTTTCGTGATTGCCTTTACTGTGAATGGTCGCTAAACAAGGACTACCTGTAGGCGTATTTTACCTCTAGAATTGCCTAGCTGCAATATATTTACTCTTTTGGGGAACTTTCCAATAGTCTTCTCAGGTAATCCTGAGAAGATTACATTCCAATGGTCTACCTAGGTCGAGGGTAGGCAACCTTGGCTCTTTTATGACTTGTGGACTTCAACAACCCAGAATTCCTGAGCCAGCATGGCTGGCTCAGGAATTCTGGGAGTTGAAGTCCACGAGTCATAAAAGAGCCAAGGTTGCCTACCCCTGGTCTAAGTGAAGTAACTTTTCAAGCATTTCCAAAACTGAACTTTGCAGTGGAAGTTAATGCAGCTGCTAAAAATGGTTAAAACAATGAGTTGTTGTTTTTTAATTTTAGCTTGGTGAAAGTGGTTATTGTACAGGCCATGAACCAGATTCGATGGAATTTAGTACTCTTGGAGGATGGGTAGCCACCCGAGCATCAGGCATGAAGAAAAATGTTTATGGAAATATTGAAGATCTGGTAAACATATTCTATAATTCTTTTTTTTTAAAATTAACTTCTGCATTTGTATTTTTCTGTTACTAATGAATATTAGCTGATAAACGCAGAAAAAAATCATTAATGTAATTTAGTGGTTGACAAATGTTGGATTTATTTGACACATATGAAAAGAAAATAATGTATATACTGATCTGCGTTTTGGGGTTTGGGAGGAAAAGAATTAAGGAGGCACCAAAAAATTTTTACTAGATATTTTCTTTAGTGTAATACAAATTTCTGTGTGATCAGTTTCTCCTTTCCTTCTATCTACAGTGGCAAAATAGGATGTAGATTATTTTTTCCTCAGAATTTAATATACATGCATATTTTATATGCTCTCATTTATATGTAGTACTAAGCAGATTCTCTATTTTATACAGGTGGTTCATATAAAAATGGTAACACCCAAAGGCGTAATTCAGAAAAATTGTCAAGGACCACGCATGTCAACAGGACCTGACATTCATCATTTCATTTTAGGATCTGAAGGTATAATTTTTTAAAATTTGCAATACTTTCATGCTTTTTACATATTTCTATAACACGATATTTAACTAATACTTCTGATTGAAGGAACAGGAATTTTACTAAACTATACGATCATGCACATTTGCAAAGTTTTTCAGCAAAATATGGAGTGCAGCAATACACTGTTACGCCATAAGCTCTGCTCTTTTTTGTACTTGCATGCATATATAAAAGGGAACAGGGCCTGTGTCACAATAGGTCAGTGTTGCTGTGTTCATTCTGCCCACATGTCTTTTACTTCCTGCAAGTGCCACTGTGGTCATCTAACTCATACAATTCAGCACAAAACAGCATAGCTCTGTTTTGATATATTAGGAAGGAACTAGGTACATTTCCATGAGGTAGCATTCTGCTCAATAGTTTAACACTGATACTTGGAGATATCAAGTTGCAGTCTCAATTGTAAAGCCTTAATATGTTTGATGCCTGAACCAAATAAACATATTGAGGAATAATTAGCACAAATTAATGACTAGTCAGATTTTAATAACTCTCGGTTGGAGGAGTCCCTGCGGATTATATTCTGCTAGTTGTTGCCGACTATAGGGGGCAGTGCTCATCTCCATTTCAAGGCCATTAAACCAGCGCTGTCAAAGACATTTCCACAGTCATGTGGCCAGTATGATGCCATGGAGCGTTGTTACCTTCCCGTATACTTATTTGTCTACTTGCATTTGCATGCTTTCTAACTGCTAGGTTGGCAGAAGCTGGGGTGAGGATGAGAGCTCATCCTGTCGCATGGAACTCGGGTGTCAAACCTGGGCTGCTGGCTTTCCACCCAACAAGCCAAATGTTTAACCACTAAGACACCATGCCGCCCTCTCAGTTGAAGTGATTTGAATAAATAGCATGGTTCAGACATTGTGCAAAACCATGCTTTATTTAATCATGGTTTCAACAAGCTGTATGATCAAAGTTACACTTAGCCATAAAGTAACATTTACAAATCACAATTGCAGAATTCACTTACTGGATGAAGCCAGAATAAAATCATATATATGCATCACCACACAGCCACTGTAATTCATGTGGTTTCTAATGTTGATTGGATTTTGAAACAGGTGTTAATTTATTGGGCATCAACATACTTTTGTGAGCTCATTTGCAATTTGCATAGACCTGCAAATGTTTCTTTCTGAAATAGGTCTCTTTTTCCTTTGTAATCAGAAGCCTTTTCCATTTTAAATAACTGATATTCACCATTAAAAATACTAGAAAACATATTTAGATATTTTGCTTATACAAAACAGTGTGCAATATTCTCATTTTAATGAGTGCTAGAGCAGTACTTTGTGCTGGATCCTTTGACAAATCTATTTCACGTCGAGTTTAAGTTACATTTCAGAGGATTAAATAACAACTGTAATATTATATAAAACATTTAATCTTATATATGCTATAGGGAATAAATACTATTATATTTGGAAGGCTAATCCTCACAATTCCCTGTATATTTTCATTTAGAGCTTTAAGGATGGAAAATATTGAAAGAAATAAACTACACTATTGTGTGGTTTTCATTTTTTAATGATTTTAAATAATATGTGGAATAGGATTTTGGATACAGATATGAAATCATAAAATTCTCTATATCTTTCAGCTGCAATAGCAAAATGATTATTTTCCTCTTTTTATAAAGGAATCCTTGGAGTGATAACAGAAGTTACAATAAAAATTCGACCAGTCCCTGAATACCAAAAGTACGGCTCTGTAGTATTTCCAAACTTTGAGAAAGGGGTGGCCTGTTTAAGAGAAATAGCAAAGCAGGTAAAGTAATCTTCTCTTCAAATAGTATTTAATTGCACTTTTTAAAAAGCTGCAGTATCAAGTAGTTTCACTAGATGGCATGCTTGTGCCCTAACTCTACTTGCCTCTCAGGCTGAGGAATATGTTTAAAACTGCCATTCAATAATGTAATCAGTTCCAACAGAGGGCTAGGTAAAATGTTTAAATTTACGTTTTTGAGAATTGATCTCTTGATGCCACAAATAATAAATATAGAATTATTTCTTGTGTCAATATGGTTTCAATATTTAAACAGTTTAGTTCCTTTTTTTATTAAAAAAACCCAATTCTGCCTTATCATTTAAAACAACCTTAAAGTGGAAGAGAGATAATGCAGATTAAGTCACTGAGTAAATTTTACCAAAATTAATTCTGAGTATTTTAAATCCAATTTATATCAAATCAAACTATATTTCAGTATGATTAAACCTGGAAGTACAAAACTGTTATTGTTTGCATGTTATGTTTGGAGTAGAGTTGCGCTACTTAAAATATAAAGTGTCCTCTTCTAGGAACAACATATTAGCATCAGTTATTTTATTGTGTTTTTTAAAAATTATTAAACTTATTATGCAATACTGAGTGAATTGGGTAAAAGGGTAAAACTGCAATGCTTTCTATTAGTGTTATAAAAGGATTTATATGGTGCTTGTATGGCTGAACAATTTGTAGTTGATGTATTAAAAATATTTTAATGTATTTAATTATATCCCTTTGAACTCTGTTATTCTGATAAATCCAAGAAATTAAAACACTAGAAGGAAAGGGATAAGCAGACAAATTTTCAGAAGTAGAAAAGGCTTTCCATTTATTTCCATTATTACATTAAAATCAGTATTTTTTTTATAAAAGCATAGGTAATATAACTCTGAAATAGAGACCAATGGGATGCATGAAATAAATCTATAATATGAGGATAGAGGCAAAGCACTTTTGAAGATAAATTATTTTCCTCAGTTCAAAAAAATGTTACTGACAATTTGGCATTTCATGCTTACACTTTTGGGGGGAAAAAGGGCTTTAGCTCAAATTTCTTAACATGGATACAGAGTATTAATAAAGAGCAGAAAATCAAAATAATAGTAAATAATTCTTTATCACAATGGTAGAGTATGCTGAAGGATATAAGATTGTCCCCTCTCTTCTTGTTTATTTTGTTATTAGCATTACAGTAGAACTATTGGCAATCAGACTAGATCAGGCAAAAAAAAATAAAAATGCCAGGAGTAAAATTAGCAATGTAAGAACCTAAATTGTAATTATTTGCTGATTATGTTGTATTTACAATTACTTAACACAGCCTCTGTTTTAATAATGTTAATGAATATATGCAGCAATATGATTTGGTACAAGGTTACTAGAATAATTTCAAAAAACTCAAATGCTGACAACGAAACTTAGCAGAAGAAGAAAAGTAAAACAATAAGATTCTTTTTTTAAAAAATATCTATTGTGTTAGAAAAGTATAATAGCAGATATTTCTAGATGGAAAAACTAAATCTATCTTGGTTAGGAAGAATTGCCCCTATTAAAATGAATATTTTACCAAGAATCAATTGTCTTTTTCAATCAATTCTAACATATATATATAAAATAAAGTTTTAAGTGAGTAATATAAACAAACAATGAATTACAAAGACCAACAATTTAAGTTCAAGATTTTGCAAGATTCAAGTGAGCAAAGTAGATTAGAAACTTCAAATTTCAAGTAGCATCCTTATTTTAAAATTTAATAATGATGCTTACTTTTTTAAAGTATTATAATATATTCTATAATAGATAGGTAATTAATGATATATTTTAAAGCTGAAATCTCCCAGACATTGTAGATCTTTTGTTTACTTCTTTGTCTTTTCTTTGTTTTTTCTTGTCTTTTATTTCTTTTAATTTATATTCCTTTCAGATATCTAATTAAACAAAGGTGTGTGCCTTCTCTCCTTCCCCATTTCTATTTTTTCCATAATACCAGATCTTATACTACTCTGTCTCCCAAACCTCAGGGACATTTTTGGGGAAGACAGAATACATACAGTACATAGAAATATATGTTTCATCCGTCCTCCTCTCTCCTCTTGAACAGCTCTGTATTCTTTAAATGCTCAAATCTTCCTTTATCTTTTCATTACTTTTACATGACTTTTATTCTTTATTGCTCTGGTCCCCTTTTGACTATTTTTAAATTGTAATACCCTTTTTTTTAACAAGTATTACTTCTTTGAGTGAAACTTAACATTATCCAGGCATATTTTCTCTCCCCTGCCTGCAGTTGCGATTCCAGGCATCCTACCTTAAAATCTGCTCAAGGGAGCCATCTGATTCTCCAGTGCAGATTTTAAAGGATAGATGGCAGATTGTAGTAGAGGGAGAGCAAATTATGCAAACATATCTTTTATTGTTTGACCAAGGTTGAATTCATCCTTCAGAATTAAGCAAGAGTTTCTCTTTGCTATCAAATTTCTGAAATGTTTTTTGACCTGTTAAAATTAACTACGATATGGCATTATATTTTAGAAAGTGTTCTCCTCAAACAATTATAGTTAACTGTGGTTCAATACAATATTAGAAATCTTTTATAATACTGAATCTCAGATATATTTGAATTATCTGAAATTTATTTAAAAGGCCAAATATAACAATATATTATGGTTCAGATTTTAAAAATCCTGACTCTCAGTGTTGAGGAATTATCGAATATCTTTTTACTCAATGATGAAACTGTTTTGCAGAAGTTCAGTGTTTAACAGTTGGTTGGACAGTGTTACTTTTTTCCATGCCAGATTTTTTTGGGGGCACATTGATACAATTTAATTTGTGTTTTTCATCACTACTCTTTATTCTTTTCCCATAGCGATGTGCTCCTGCATCCATTCGCCTGATGGACAATGTACAGTTTCAGTTTGGTAGGTTTTTTTTACTAAATATTCAGGAATTGTTTTGGTAAAAGTACTAAGTACTCTGTAACCAGACCTTCCTTAATTGTAGGTAGTGAATTAAAAACAGCATCCTAGAATTCATAGTCTGTTATTCCTGTACTTATTTTGTGTGCTGCAATTTTCGACTGTCTTTTCATCTGATGTCAATTGTCATAGCTCATTTTTGCAGTCAAGATTCAAAGAACTATCCAGCTTATCACAAAACGACAACATGAGGCATGTGTTCTTGTCACTGCAATAGCTAGTGATAGCTACCAAATTATTTTTATAAGTATATGTTTTTTGCTTTTAAAAAATGTCAAAAACCACACACAATTTGCTCAAGTTCTTAGACACATCCTAAATAATTGGAATCAACTTCCCCCCGAGATTCGAACTACTCCCACCTTGCCGGCCTTTAAGAAAGCCATTAAAACTCTCCTGTTCCGGCAGGCCTGGGGTTGATGTCCCCGGGGGGGCCGGGATACGACTGGACACGCTGTATGAATGCACTTATTTTATTGTTTTATTGTTATATTTATTGTTTTAATCTTGTACGCCGCCCTGAGTCCCTAGGGATTGGGCAGCATATAAATTTTATTAATAAATAAAATAAATTCCTTTAATGTCAGACTTGGTAAATTGTAACCCAGCATTGCAATCAGGAAACTAAGACATGATGTGTAAGTCATTCTCAGTAACTTACTACAGTAAAGAGGTAGCCATCACTACATTTGTTCCAGCATTTACTGTTATCTGTTAATAACCAGTAAGTGGTTTGCTGAAATTCAAATATTGCTAAAACATGCCAGGACTGTAATATTAATTTGTTAATTCGATTAATCAGGTTAAAATCTCTTGAACAGCTAATTGGAACAAGTACTTGATCATGCAACAAACTTTTTTAAAAAAAAATATTTAAATGTGCAATCCCAGATTTAGTCATAGATCTACTTACAGGCTTTAGAAAGGAAAATAAGTACTATTCCACTTGGAGCAGATGACCTATGAGAAACATACATACTGCTGGATAATCCTCTATTTTTAAAAAGCTCTGTTAGCATCAGAATTCTACTGATAAGGTTTCGATTGTATGGCACTTGCAATATTCTAATCCCTCTTTGTGTTTTGATGTACTTGAAGAAAAGGCGAGGCCTAGAGTGATTATAAAATTGGAAGAGTAAAAAGGGAGTGATAGAAAAAGTTTCCTTACTTCTTACCTGGTTATGAAAAAATGGCAAGACAGCAAACAAATTAAAGTTCCCAAAGTGAGGTCTCTTAGTGTAGGAGCAGCAATAATGGTAAAAGTCTTTTCATTAAAAGCTTAAGAAAGTAATTGAACTTAGCTGAAGTATATCCCTTCAGTGAGTAAGCACAGATTGCAATAAAACCTTTTACCTTATGCTCAGTGATTTGTGATTTTTTTCCCCCCTTCAAAAACCTGGAAATGTGGAGGAGAATTAAGTTCCACATTTTCTTCTTGCTTGAGTCTTTATAAGGCTATCATACAATTATACAAGAGAATGTAAATCCAGGAAGTAGGCCAATATGATGTATTGTATAATTTACATATTATGAAACCCTAGATCAGTGGTTCTCAACCTGTGGGTTGGGACCCCATTTGGGGTTGAATAACCATTTTATGGGGGTCGCCAAACAAGGCTGTCCGCCATTTCCCCCCCCCCTTTTCTTTGGCTACACCCCTGGCACCCGGTGATGTATAAGTGATTGGGGGTCACCACAACATGGGGAACTGTATTATGGGGTCGTGGCATTAGAAAGGTTGAGAACCACTGCCCTAGATCAAGAAGTTGAAGTTCATACAAAAATGCTTTGTTTCACCCTACATCTTAAAATTTTCTCGGTTTGAAGTATATCTGTACGTATTGCATTGTATACAATGGAAATATATTGCAGACATTTCCATTATGCATATAGTATTATTATTATTATTATTATTTCATTAAACATGAACCTCAGTCAACTGAACATTCAAATTGGCTGGCGCTGATGGTTGACATGGGTTGCTACCAGCATCCTAGGTGTCAACCAGGTATTTCCTTAAAATATGTTCCGAGTAGCGCAGTTTTTTGTAACATTGCTGGAGTTATTGCAGGAAGCTGCAGTTTCTTGATGTATTTTGCAAAGTTTTGGGACACAGTTCCCAGTGCCCCAATGACAATGGGTACCACTGTTGTTGTTGTTGTTGTTATTTATTATCTTTATTCATCTGTCTGTTGTCTTACAATTTTTTTCTCTTTCTTGGCAAGGTCAAGCTCTTAAACCACAGGTTGCTTCTATTTTTACATCACTATTGGATGGACTGAAAAAATTTTACATCACAAAGGTATCTAATTTTAATCTTGGCAATAAAGAGATGCAAATTTTAAATAATTTTGTATAATTCACAGAAAGTAGTTCCAGTATGGATCTGCTTGACAGTTTGATAATGAACAGTGTCAGGTGACTTGCAGGTGAACCAAAACACATGTGTTTTGCAATCCAAAATGCAATTATTTTTTTAAAGAGGTTTTTAAAAATGAGACCATGGTTGATCCCTCTTATTCTGTATTTCCATGCTGATAGAAATGAAACATCAGCATATGCTATTCCTCTTTTATTTTCTCCAGCTACCCAGCCTCTTGTTCTTTCTGGATTTTACTTGAAGATATTTGATATTTGTTGGTATTTGGTAGTTGAAACTGTACTGTATTTTAATTGTGCCTAAAAAAAGTCAAAAACTGAACTCTCAACTTCATCTTTAAAAAAAAGTCATATGCTTCTTCCTTTAGAAATTGATCTTCTTACCAAGAGTAATATGAAAATGAATTTAGTGCCAATAATATGGAGATCTTGCTGTGTATGTTACAATAATACAATGCAGGTGCTTTTTTTCCACAGTTCAAAGGATTTGATCCCAATGTATTATGTGTTGCTACATTGGTCTTTGAGGGTGCCAGAGAGAAAGTCCTCCAGCATGAAAAGCAAGTTTATGATATTGCTGCAAAATTTGGGTATGATTTTTAAAGTTTTATAACTGCTACTTTTTATTTATTTTCCTAAAACTTTGCAGAGTTAAGTAGAACTAGATGGACCCTTGAGTGTCATGCATTTTTCAATTATAAAAAATGAAAAAGTGAGAACAAGTTAACATTGTTGGTCTCTTTTTAGCTGCATTTCTACATATTCAGTAATTATGTTTTTATAATAAATATGGTATTAGTTTGCCTAAGCATGCATTTTGTCAAAGCCTTAACTATTACAACAAAATGTAAAAATTTATCTCATTCAGCTGATGTCTATTTATAATAGTTTCCTTTTTCTAATTTTTAAAAATAATTTCTGATAATAAATTAGTTGATACAGGGAAGGAGAGTAATGTTTAGAGATTAAGGTATAATAATGTCCATTATTGACTTACAGCTGGAATGAACAAGTCTGTTTTAAAAAGGAAATTGTCTGTCTTTAATCAACAGAACTTGATTAATTATATATATCCCACCTCCTGTCACCTATTGCTCTATGCTGTTACAAGGAAGCAGAAAACATTTCACTTTTATAAGCTGAGTAATGGAAGGGTAATTTGTGTCCAGCTGGTTTGATTGATTATGGGTCTGATAATGAAACTATGGTGAAGATATTTATTCAGATTACAACAACTTTATTTTCCATTTAAGAAAAAATAATAATAACATCATTGCTATGGCTAAGTAGATATTTTGTTAACTTTAGTTGTTTACCTCCCCAAATGTTCAGGTTCAAAGAAGTACAGTGCCTTTTCAAGTAAAGAAATATATACATATTAATAATTTCATAATTAATTTGCGAATAAAAAACGAGCTAACCTACCAATTTCTTGCTCCATATCCTATCTATACATTTCTGGTCAATTGTGTTTCACTTTTGGCCTGAAAGCTACAAAACGAGGAATAAGATAGAACTTCTAGCTATTGAATCTGAACTAAAGCCCCGTATTGGTTTTTCTTGTACACTCCTTTGCACACTGTGTTCTTTGTCACAATGCCAGAGAAAAAAAGGGGGGGGGGAATGCAGCCAGCTATTAAAAGACATTGTTATACTCGCTACCAGGCAGCTGTTACTCCTGTCTGACTATCACTTTATCAAGCTGCAAACCCAGTTGGCTGTTAGATTCTGCTCCTTTGAACAGCCAGTAATAGTAGAAAGAAGATAGCTCCATGGCAGCAACTGTTCCCAAGCTTGTTTAATCTGCCTTTCTTGCTGCATGAAATCAAACATGTCACTAGCAACCTACTCCCCTGACTCTTCCATAGAACAGTGCTCATTAGCACCAACAAGTGGAGTCGAAGCCGTCTCCTTTTTAAAAACAAACCACAAGGTTCCTACTCTGAGGAATTTGACTAACGAATATAAACTTCATGCAGAGAATTGACAGAATACAGCAGCAGTCAGGAGCAGCACATTTGCAAGTACCAAAATATCGATGAGATAAATCCCCCTAGATAAATATTTTATTTCCCCAAATCTTACCATACTTCAGTAGCTAAGAATGGACTTGTCTGTATGTGGGCATCTAATACCATCATTTGAGAGCCAGAAAAGTCTGCTTTATTATAAATATATCCTGCCTTTCCTCTCCATACTTTAAGGTAGCATATGGGAGAAGCGGGGTTGACATATGTTATCCTCACAAAAAGACCTTTTGAGTATTTAGAGAGAGTTCGTGACAGAAAGTGACTGGTCATCTCTGGGATCTGGTGCAGACTTGACTTCAAGTTTCTTGGTTCAACTTCTTGGTCCAACTTCATCACTACTGTGTTGGCAATCTTTTAAAATATTTTTTCTCTAAACCCTGCATAATAGCAATAGCACTTAGACTTATATACATCTTCACAGTGCTTTACAGCCCTCTCTAAGCGGTTTACAGAGTCAGCATATTGCGCCCAACAATCTGGGTCCTCATTTTACCCACCTCAGAAGGATGGAAGGCTGAGTCAATCTTGAGCCGGTGAGAATAGAACTCCTGGCAGTCAGCAGAATTAGCCTGCAATACTGCATTCTAACCACTGTGCCACCACAGCTCCTAATATTTTTGCCAAATAGTGAAAGCTTTTGTCCTTTATCTTTTCGGTATTGTGTAGAAGTATCTAAACAGTGCAAAACTTTAAGGTTCCCATACCAACATACTATAATGATGGACTTTGTGCCACTTGAAAATCCTGTGTGTGTATATGCAGATGCATATAATTTCTTGTGTCAATTATTATATCTAGAACTAAACTTAATCTATATAAATCCTAGCAACTAAAGTACAGGTAATTCTCAATTTACAACCATTCCTTTAGTGATCATTTGAAGTTACAACAGCACTGAAAAAGGTGACTTATGAGCAGTTTTCCTACTTATGACCATTGCAGTATCCCCATGGTCACATAATCAAAATCCGGGTGCTTGGTAACTGGCATTTATTTATGACAGTTGCACTGTCCCACGGTGATCACCATTTGTAAGCTTCCCAACCAGCTTCCAACAAGCAAAGTCAATGGGGGAAACTGGATTTCCTAAACATGTGATTCACTTAACAATTGCAGTGATTCACTTAACAGACCTGTGGCAAAAAGTTGTAAAATGGAGCAAAACTCATTTGACAACTGCCTTGCTTAGCAACAGAAATTTTGGGCTCAATTGTGATCATAAGTGGAGGACTACCTGTACTCTTATTATATCCTCAGAATGGCTAGTGTTGACATTTTAGAGCTAGAACGTATAATATTTTATTATTTTCAAATTGCAGTGGTCTTGCAGCTGGAGAAGACAATGGACAGAGAGGCTATATGCTGACATTTGTCATTGCTTATATTAGGGTAAGTTTATTTTACTTTTTGAACAATATATAGATTTATAATTTTCCACTCTGCATAACTTTGGCAGCTTATTGAAATAAAGCAAGAAAAAGGCATGAGCTGATTTCTGTTCAGAAATGTGCCCATATTTCAGTGGTTCAGAACTCTTAAAGGTACATATGAACATCTACTATTAAAATGTTCCTTGTACATTGAGTGGTGATTGAAAGTTGCTAACAACTTCAGTTGTCATTGTAACCAAGAAGCCATTACCCTTCTTTTGAGGAGACCACTTTTCAGAAACCTCTAAGGCTGATTTTTTTTTTTTATTATTAACAACAACAGTAGCTGTTAGAAGCCATCTGGTTCCTCCTTCATGGTATGGTATGGTTAGCTGTTAATTTTCTCAGGATTTTCTTGCAATTTTTATCCTTTTATTATAGTTATTGTATGATTCGGTTTTTTTTCTTGTGTTTGGTTTTAGATAGTAAATAGACTTTAAACTTTTGAGGTACAATATTCATGGAAATGGAATTGTTTTGCTTATTTTTTTGTCTTTGTGCTTTATAAAAATTATATAGTTTTACAGTGTTGCTTATAAGGTATATATGTATAAGATACATGTTATACATAGATTAATTTCAGGAAATTGAAACTAAGTTTCAGATACATTTTCCATACTCCTAGGCTGAGCCTAGTCATTTAATTTAAATAAATGCAGGTCTGTTGCCTCAGTAATACCTTAACTATTTTCAGTTGCATATATATTCCTAGTAAATATATGAGTCTAAAATGGAATACTAATCTAAGCCTTTTCTGGTTTCTTGAATAGGACCTTGGCATGGATTATTATGTAGTTGGAGAATCATTTGAAACATCTGTTCCTTGGGATAGGTAAAATCAAAACATTTTCTATTCAGTGAAAATAAATATTTTTATGACTTTTTTTCCGGAAAATTTGTTAGAAAGTGTTGGTTTTAGATTTTAGTGATGTAAATATTTTGTAGAATATAAAGATAGCAGATTGTTTCTGGAATAATAGAAAAAAATGTATTATTTGACAGTCCATGTGAAACGTATTTTAGTAATAATACTTCATAGATTTTTGATGAAGTAAGAAAACCTAATCAGTTGGCTTCTAACTTCCCTGTCCTCCAACAGAGAAACAACTTCTGTCCTCAGGCACTTTTTGAGCCAATGAAAGATCCTGTTGTTTGAAAAAGAGGACAATCATTATCTCTCTGGTGATTTCCTAATGAGCATAAGCATAGTTTAATATGTATATAATTTAAGAATAAATTACAAAAATATAACACAGTACCCAAAACCTCACACTTAGAATGGCTTAATTAAATGGATTTATGGATACCATCTTCAAAAGACTATCTGAATTTAGTCCTGTGCTTGTGCTTGTGGTCTTGTGCTTCTGAGGGACTATTAAGTTGGAAATGCTGATCTTCACATTTCTCATTTTTGTTATGACTTTGTCATTTTCCCAAAAATTCTAAATTGCAAATAATTTCCATTATTTCCAAGATATTATCAACTAATAAGTTGAGGCTTAAAGTTATAGGAGACTGCTCTAGAACTATTTAGACCTTTTTGATCTTGTGGCTTTCAAGTACCAAGTATATATATACATTATGTACATTTGGCTTTTACAATTAGTGTAATCAAGTTTATAACCTTTACTTGGTCATCTGGTTCTCCTTATCACATTCAGAGGAATCTGTAGAGCCAATAGAATGTGCCTTTAATAAGTTTTGTGCAGAATGGGATGGTTTTGATTTATTGAATAAATAAAAGTGGTATTTTTGGAGGAAAAAGCCCTGATAAGGAGAATTATCCATCTAGATCCGTGGTAGCAAACCTATGGCATGCGTGCCACAGGTGGCACGCAGAGCCCTCTCTGTGGGCACACACGCCGTCACCCCAATCCTAGGCCTTCAGCTGGGTTTTATAAAACCTTTTCGCTTTAGGCTTCCGCCACTGTGTGCAAAAAAAAAAAAAAGGTTCAATCAATCAGTCAATTTCAACTTCTCACAGGAAAACAAAGATCTCACAAAATTGGAATTGATTGATTGAACTTTTTAGTCCCACCCAGTCTGCCATTACCACTGCAGCTACACCCACCCAACAGGCCATGCCCATCCAATTAGCCACACCCACCCAGCACCCTACAATACGTAAGTGGGTTTTGGGTTGCAGTTTGAGCACTCGGTCTCTAAAAGGTTCGCCATCACTGATCTAGGTCTTAAATTTAGGAAGCTTTAATCAAGATAAAAATATAATGTATTTAAATATAATCCCAGTTTCTATTAAATGTTGTTTAATAATTATTTTGTGGCAGTATGTACCTTTGAGAACCAAGCAGAATGTGTAGGTACCTTTTTACTTTTAATGACCCAGAATTAATCCTTGTCTTGAGCTACAATAAATCTATTCTTATATCGGTTACAAAATGTTACCGATGAATGTGTTAAATAGTTTTGCTTTTTTATCTTTTGTGCTATTTTATCTTTAGGGTTCTTGATCTGTGCAAAAATGTAAAAGAAAGAATGACCAGAGAATGCAAGGAAAAAGGTGTTCAGTTTCCACCATTTGCTACCTGTCGGTAAAGCATCTTCATATAAATTAAGTTCTAAAATGGGTTGGTGATATGTAGGCCTACAGTGTGACTTTTATTGCCCCAGAAACCTCTTAAAATCATGTCACTATAATTTTGCACCGAAGCCCTAATACTATGTAGCTTTATTTATTTGGTGACCAGTTTTTGTAAAATAGCTTGAGATGCCTACTTGCATCAGCTGAATTGTCTAATTGCTACAATGAAAGTTAAATTACAACAAGCCTCCATCTTGTTTAGAATTGCCACAGTTTTGTATCACACAAAATGTGGTGTGCACTTAATCTAAATCATCACTAGTTGAAACAAGTCAGGTTTATAAAATGCAGTGTGACCTTTACTTTTCTCAGTTGGTCAGACTGAAATTTCAACCATAGTTAGTTCAGCTTCAGCAGCATTGCTATCCCTATAATGCAGTGTTTTCTAACCTTAGCCATTTTAAGGTGTGTGGATTTCCCAGAATATCCCGATGCTGGGTGCTTTGCTACTTTGGGGCTTTGGGCTATAAATAAAACTTAATAATGCGAACTTAGGAGAGATGGGAATACTTGCGTTTAACATCCAGTGTCGCCATATCGTTTATTTTTAAACTGGATTCTTTGTTTAATAATTTTGTTATTTGATCAGACTTTTTTTTTTTTTTTCAAATAAACCAGGGTGACACAGATGTATGATTCTGGTGCATGTGTCTACTTCTATTTGGGCTTTAACTACAGAGGAATTAGTGACCCTACTCGGGTTATTGAAGAAATAGAGGTAATTCTACATATTTAATAACTTAAATGTTCTAGATAAAGTTTATGTTTAATTGTTACCTAAACCAAAGTTAAATAGAAACTGGCTGTTTAATAGCTTTAAGGAGATGTTCACATTATTTTTGATGAGCTGTTGGTCATCTGTTTCATCGACCCTGAATTTCCAGGTGGTTTTTCCCATCCAAGTTCTTATCAAGTTGAACCCTCCCAATTTCCCCCCCCCCCAAGTTCTAACCTCATTTTTCTTTTTCTGGTCTCTGTTCCCCCATTCCCCAATTCAGACCATAATTTTTGATTGCAAACACTTTTCTGTTTGCTTGCTTTTTAGAAACAACATAGGATATTTGTAGAACTCTAACAAAGTTTTTGCTTATCAGTGGAATAGGAGTGAGGATGAATCTGTGCTAACATTTGCTATGTAGACACATATTGCAATTAAAATTATGTTTATGTAGAACTTCAGAATGAAAATGCTCTGAAAGGAGTTGTTTTCATTTTTATCAGAGACTTTTTTAAAACAATTGGAAATATGTCTCTCAAAAGGTAAATTGCAAGTAAAACTACTGCCCTTATTTAAGTGTAAATAATGTAACATCCCCTTCCTTTATATTATATATTTGCTGGTGACTGAATGAAACATACTATCTTGCCTGCTTCAACAGCTGAATAATTTAAATATTTTAAATTACTTTATTCCTTTTAGGCAGCAGCTAGAGATGAAATCCTTGCTAATGGAGGAAGTTTGTCACATCATCATGGAGGTATTGTTACAGATCATATTTTTAGTTACTCACTTTGTAGTATGTATGTATGTATGAATGTATGTATGTAAAAGGAAAAAACATACTCTTGCAGATTATAGCCCAATTAGACTGTTCAGCATCATTAACAAATAATATACTCATCATCTCTCCTGGAAGCTTATAGATTGGCTGGAACATAGCAGGTGAATTAGCCAGTTTTAGAATCTGTCAGGCATGTTCAGTTAATACACAGAGAGACTTAAGAGAATTGTACACTTATCTGTCAGTGTGTAAAATGCTTTGTATTTTGATACTCCTGTGGAAGGCATTAGAGCAGGGTCTTCAGCCTTTCTGGCTTGGCAAACTGGCAGAAGCAGCAGGGGAGAGAGGGAATGGTTTTGCATGGGCCCCTCTTCCACAAATACAGCTGCATACACACGTATGCCACTTCCGCAGCCTGGTTTCAAACGGGCTGCAGCCCAGCATTGGGCTGTGGATGGGGGTTGGGGACCCCTGAATTAGAGGAATCCCTCCTGTAGATAAAATATCTGTTTTTATTCACACATAGTAACCTGTCAATAATAATGAAATATATAGAATGAGAGCCTAATCTGAGTAGAATCAGAGTCCCTTGTTATTAATTTTTTATATGACCCTACAATTGAAACCTTTACTGGTCCCATTTTTCATCTTTGTTTATACTTGTTATACTTTTGCTACAGTATATTCCTATATAGGGATGATTTTGTAATGTTTCCTATAATCCTAGTTGGTTTGAAAAAGTCTTAATGCAGTGGTTCTCAACCTGTGGGTCGGGACCCCATTTGGGGTCGAATGACCATTTCACTGGGGTCGCCAAACCATGCTGTCCGCCATTTTTTTCCCTTTTCCCTAGCTGTCCTACTCCCTCTTATTGGTGGCCACACCCATTTGGGGGTCACCACAACATGGGGAACTGTACTATGGGGTCACGGCATTAGAAAGGTTGAGAATCACTATCTTAATGCATACATTACAGTAGCATTATTAGTTCTCAGAAAATGTAAGTTTCATTTTTTGCTAACAGAACCAAAATATATAGATGTCAAGTAGATAGCAGGTTTAACCCATGAAATTATACAAGCATTCCAAAATTGTTTTCCAGTTTTGGACTGCGTGGTATTATAATGCTTATTATGGCCAAACAGTTTCAGAATATATAGCCATAGCTTTCCCAAAATTGGGCTTCATGTCAGGAATGAAATACTGTCAATCTGGAATATTTCCATCAAGGTTGAAATAATCCATTTTGAGTTTAGAATATTTTACACAATTCTCATATCTAGTAATAGGAATATTTACAATATATGCTGTTTCAGACACACATTGTTATACATATTCTGAATTGACTATACAGTAAATATCAGTATTTGCTTATATACAGTAAGCAAACTTAGTGTGGTAACTAACTGTATAAGAAGTTTTGTCACTTTTGAGGAACATCCAACTAATAACTGTCTTTTAACATAGGAATGGGAGATAATTAGGAGTAAGATTAAAATAAATACCGCACAAGAGTTTAATATTTTCAGGTTACTTTATATATGTTTAGCCACCTACAGAATGGAGGATACATCCCCAAGCTTTTTTCTGTGATATATTTATAAAATGTTATGATTTCTGGCCAAATGACTGGTGACAAAAGTCTATAAACTGATCCATGTCAGTTCTTGATATTTTCAGCCATAAATTCATTATGTGCAGGTTCTACATGTCTTTTGAAAAGTGGAGAATGTTTTCTTTCACTCTCTAATATGTTATCTTTTGAGTCAAGAACTATATTATAACATGCTGAAAGATAATTGTGAGCTGTTTTGTATTTTAATTAGTCCAGTCAGTCTGACTTATTTGATTAAAAATATCAATAATACAAAATGCTTCCTATTACTATTCTGAAGAATTCCTGTTTTTAGATAGTGTTAATCATTATTACCACTAGCCTGCTTGCCTACCTACCTGCCTATCTCCAACTGCAATCAAGATACTCTTGGTGGCTATCTTACACTATGATAATGGAGAATGTTTTACAAAGCACTTATCATATTTATCCCATAGGAAGACTAATTTTTCATTGGGGATAGTCATCTTATATTTGCTGACAATAGATACCATTATTGAAAACAGAGCAGGAGTTTCTAATAATTAATGCAAGTGGGAGCAGATATTGAGCTGAAAGTTTGAATGCCTTTGAAAATTAGACTAGCCAGCACAGCTAGGGAAAGCTGGGGGAAATCAAGACGATTTTTAATATCCATAAACTCCTATGGAGGTTCTTCACTGTAGACAACTCAATTTTTGTATGAAGAGAAGAGCAAGAGGAGAAACAAACAGCTCACTGCCTAAAGAATTGCTTCCCAATTTTAGCCACGACTTTTATGGAGGTGACTGGTCTAAACAGATGAATTCCTGGCATAGCAAGAGTTTATGTATCTGGAAGTTAAAGCCGCTGAATTCAGTGAGGCTGATTATAATGTATCAGTTTTATTCCTGCTGAGTGCAGATGTCTAAATTTTCTTTCTCTGTTTATGTTTGTTTGCAAAGAGAAATTGTGCATGTGTTCAGATGAAAAAGTAATTTATTTTACAAATGCAGAACCTTGTTTCACAAGTTGTTTCTTTAATTTTTTCCTCCTGATCTGAACATTTTTTAAAAAAATATGGCTTATAACATCTACAGATATGTAAGATGGTTCCACGTGCACATTTTTTGGGGGAAAGAATAAGCCAGGATTGGTTTAAGTGGAAATTAGCAACCCCGACTGACAAAAAAATGAAAGCTGGGACTTTAGAGGAATTTTATGTATGCTTATAACCTTTTTTAAAATTTTCTTATTGTTTATTTTGGTAGGCTCATGTTAAATTCAGAATCATCAGAGACAAATGTTGCCAAGCAAAGTTATTCCAAAAAACTCTTAATTTATCTTATAAATAGTTCTTATTTAGAGGATAGAAAAAGGATAAGAAGATTAGTTTAAAAAGTGGAAGTAGCTGGAACATTGGTGGGGAGGATGATCATACAATGCTGAAATTTTTGATCGTAAGGGAAAGTAAAACTTAGAATTTATGTGGTCACTAAGTGTTGATACCAATTTCAAATATTTAATCAAAGTCTTGGACTTTTATAGAACAATAATAAATAGGATCCTATGACAGGAGAATTTAATGGCAAAACAACATCACTAAAGAGGCAAAATACCAACAGGTAACAAGGAAAAGACAGAGCATCTCAGATTCCATTTTGCTGCAGTCAATCCATAAACACAAAAAAAATTGGAAAAAGTAGGACATTAAGAAGGGGCATGATTAAAGATTGAAATTTCTAAAAGAAATGTGCATAGTTTGAATGACTTTAAATCTCTAGAGCTCCTTGCACTGCATTATAGTGAATTGAATGATCTACCTAATTTTTTGGCTTATGTATTATCTTTGAACAATCGTGAAAAAATGTGAAGTGCCAAAAGATTGAAAGAGAGCAACCAAAACATAAGAATCTCATTAGAGACAATGGTCTGCCATTAACAACTTGGAAGATTGTAGCATAAATGATAAAAGTTTGTTAACATTTTAAAATAATGCAATAGTTACTAAAAGTCAGTACAAATTCGTCAAGAATAAATTTTACCAGATAAATCTTACCATATTTTTAAATGAGTATTTCTTTAATAGCATGAATGCTGTAATGTGACTATGTTGATAGAATACTCCCTGACAGCAAGCTAGTTAAATGTAGATGGTATGGCATTTGTGTGGATACATAACTGACTCAAAAATCATATTTAGAAAGAAGTATTAAGTTAATGCCACAATAATCTATCATGGCTCTTCCAATCTTCAGTACTTTCATTAATGATTTGGAAAAGAGAAATATGCTTATTGAATTTGCAGGTGGTACAAAATTGTGTGGGATAGCTAATATTTTGTACTAAAGAAAAATGGGTACAAGAGACCATAAAAATAAATAAATAAATAGACTGACTATATAGTTCCAAATACTAGAGCAAGATGCATTTGTCATTTTAAAACAGCTTTTACTATTTCCAGCTTTGGCAAACTCAGTATAGCCAATCAAAGCATTTCCTAGGCTCCATTGTTACTTATCTTTCCTTAATATCCATGTTGGACATGATATGGTATTCCTTAGATCATGATTTCTATGCATAGAACATTGAGTCTAAAATGAAAAGAAAGACTGACCTGATGATAACAGGAACATCTTTCTAATTATCTTAGGAAAAGTTATTTATAAGCTATTACTTTTTCAAGTATTTTATTCACAAGTCCAATGTTACAGGCAGAATTCAAATATCAGTATAACCCACAGGATAGAAAAATTAGAACTGGGATAATTAAAATCTGAATCTTTAATTAGGGTAGAAGTTGCTGGACCACATGATTAATCAGCTCCAAAACTAAAAAGGCACCTTTTTTCTAAACAATATGGTTGAATATCCCATTTCTGAACATTGGGAGGACATATCCTAATGTTTCAAGTCCAATATTAGTTCTATGAAAACTCTTATGGTCACCTCCTAAGCAAAAAAGAGAACATTCCATTGTTAGTAATATAGTGCAAGAAAAATATTTCACTCAAGCAGTTGAAGAGAGAGTAGAAACAGTTGGGCTATGTTGGGTTAAAAGCAGTATCAGTTGCTGGTAATTGGTCCAGAGAAGCATACAGATTAGGAAAGATGTTTGGCCAAAAAAAAAAGCCTAAAGTTAGAATTAAGAAATTAGATGATGGGATTTATCAGATGAAATATCTAAAGGTAAACACTTAGGTAAGATAAGATAAGATAACATAAGATAACCTTTATTGTCATTTTTTTTTTACTGTGGGCACAACGACACACATCAAAAATGAAATTTAGTTGCCCGCTCTCAAAGTGAAACACATACATGACACACTCCTAAACATACTATGTACAACATATGTATAGACCCACACCCCTACATATACATAACAAATAAATATTAAATACT